TCCAGCCTATGCACACGATTCAAGATTTCCAAGAGGTTCACTGACTATATTGCTGAGCACAGCGGGTCTCTGAAATGTCTACTAGGCTTGTCTGCTCCTAGTTCTGGACTTTGTTTGTGCAAACATCAGGTTTCCAAAGTCGGTGTCACTGTGCCAGCCATTGGGGCGATGACTGTTCCTCTGGGAAGAAACCACATGCATGAATAATATGACAGGCATCTGGGCTGGCAGAGAGGTGAAATCACAACTTTCCTAGAGGCACCGCCAAGGTTGGCAGAGTTCTCATTGTCATTCAGCTCCCGGACACATCAGCAAATTTATATGGCTCTGTTGGGTACTTCCAGACACTGCTGTGGAAAGCCTCACATGCAGGAATTATCCCACTTAGTTCTCATTCTTTATAGGCAGCTGCCAGCCAAATATTGTGCTAGGTATTTGGGGGCTAAGATAAGGGATAATACTAGTTCACATTTCTAATGCACTTTGGGGCTTCCAAAACTGCTTTCTTCAAGATAGTCCTGTGAGATAGTCAGTGCGAGCATTAATGTTCCCATTTTACAGATGAGGAGAATGAGGTTCACAGAGGTGAAGACACCCAGAGTCACACAGCTTGTAGTTGTCTGAATCAGGGCTCAAATACAGGTCTTCTAGCTTAAATTCCAAAGCTTTCTCTCACATACCACTCCCCCTTCCATGCTCTTAGGTATCATATTTATCTTGTGCCTTGGTGCCACAATGCAGGGCAAAAACCTCTACCAACTTTACCCTACCCTCCATACTGATCTTGTCCAAGGTTCACAGGCATAGGTCAGAGCTACCCTTAAGAAAAAAGGTGAAGATAAAAATAGCATCACTCTATAGAGTCTTGGAAGGGGACAAGGCTTTCAAGGTGAGCTAATCCAATCTCACATCCCAACCTGAGAGCCCATGTACAGCATCCCTAAATGGTGGGCAAACCAAATTCAGTGTTACTATGAGTATGTTGTTCAGCTCTATTGTTCCTCTGATTACCTCTGCTCCAATTCTGGCTCTTGGCTTTTGTCTTCTTAGACACATTTCATCAAACACTTATACCAAGTACCTAATATGTACAGAATACCAAAACAGCATGGTGCAATTGACCAAGTATCCCATTCGAAGTCAGAATGACAGATTTTGAATCCGGACTCTACCTTGACAGTTTCTCTGGGTGTCCCCCATGCCTGGAATGCTCTCCCTCTCCCTCTCTGACTACTGACCTTAGGTTGGTGGACTCTTTTTTACCCCACTTTGAAAGAGATGTAAAAGAAGCACTGTATCACCATGAACCCAGCCACAGAAGTACACACATCTTGTTTGAAGGAGATTGGATGTTCAAACTAGAAACGATTTCTAAAGGCAACATATGAGTAAACACAATATGGCAAAGTATAGAACAAATATAGATGAAGAGGATCCAAAGTCTTAGACAGATTACAGTGGAACAAAGTTGGCCAATGAAGAGTTCTTAAAAGAAACTCATTTGTTTTTCTTTAGCATTTCATTCTTAAGAGGTTCTCATTCCCATTACATTAACTTCCTTAACATTGATATTGATAATGATAACCATTTATATATGTTTTTTAAGTTTTTCAAAGTACTTTACAAATATTATCTCATTTTATCCTCAAAACAACCCTGGAGACAAGATGCTATTATCCCCATTTTACATATAAGAAAACTGAGGCATGTGGTGGTTAAGTTACTTTCCCATGGTGACACAGCTGGTAAGTATTTTTTTTTTTTAGGCAATTGGCTTAAGTGACTTGCCCAGGGTCACACAGCTAGTAAATGTCAAGTGTTTGCTCTGAGGCCAGATTTGAACCCAGGTCCTCCTGACTTCAGGGCTGGTGCTCTATCTGCTACACCACCTAGCTGCACCTGTAAGTATTCTTGAAGTCATGTTTTCCTGACTATAGGTCCAGTGTTCTATCCATTAAGAAGTTAGGCCCAGACATCCTACCTAACCTTTCTCTTAATCTTTGAAAAACTATCCTCAAAATATTTTAAGTGGGCATCAGATGACATCCACATTTCCTTTCCTTTTTGTTTTATTGACTCTAAAATAGAGAGGCTACTTCCCTTGAAGAATTCTATCATTTCTCCTTTGGCATCCAGTTTCTTCTTATTGATATACCAATAAGACACAGAATATTGCTTCTTCTTGTCATGTCTTTCACCTTTTGCAGAAGGATTCTATTAAGTTCAGTGAAAGCCCTTTACAACTCTGAGATTCTGTTTCCTAGGAACATGAAATCGAGTATATTAATAATAATAATCTAGTACTTATGTAGTGTTTTAAAGTTTGCAAAACACTTTACCTATGTTTTTTATTTCTCATAATTTGAGGTAGGTTCTATTATTATTTGATTTTGCAGATGAAGAAACTGAGGCTGAGAGAGTTTAAGTTACTTGCTCACAATTCTACATCTATTAAATGTTTGAGGAAGGATTTGACTTCAAATCTTTCTTATGCAAAGTCTAAAACTCTATCCACTGTGCCACCTATTTGACTAAGTACAGCTTAGCCAATCATTCTACCAATATTTACTGAGACTTGACTATATGTAGGGTGATGAGCTAGGCTCTAAGGATGCTTTTGTATGTGTGTGTGTGTGTATGTGTGTGTGTGTGTGTCAGAGAGAGAGAGAGAGAGAGGGAAGAGAGAGAGAGAGAGGGAGAGGAGAGGAGAGGAGGCAGAGAAAGAGACAGAAAAAAGATGAAAAGGAAGGGAAGGAGAGATTCCAGACCTCACAGTTACTAATTTCTGGCCCTAGTTAGCAACTCCCATTCCACCTGCCAACTGGGTAGATTGGTTCTTCGATTTCATTTGGAAGAAAGAACTAACTAACCACAGGTCTACATTTTGAACAGTATGTTTCATACCAGATCAAAGGCTGAGCCCAAGTTGTGATGTCACATTGCGCTCTTGCATCCATGTGGAACAGCCAGCCCTCTGAGTTAGCTAAGGGCAGGCTTCTGATTGCCTCTTTATCCTACTCTCCTCATCCATCATGATTTAGCCTCTATTCTTGGGATGTCAAGGATAAAACAAACCCTGTTAATTCAGAGAAGTTGGTTTTAAGCCAGATTAAATTAGTGAAAAGGCTAAAACTCTTTCTTTCTTCTTCTTCTTAGAATGGATAATCACTTAGAATGAGCTAAAAGAGTTTTGCCAAGTTGAAGCCTTTTGGTGTTTTACCTTGAAATTGATGATAAGATGAGTTTGCTTTTATTTAGCAAACTATATCTTTCCAAGAACATTCACATACAGCTTTTCATTCCTCCTTTTGTTCAAGGCCCAGCTCACATAATGTTCCTCTATAAAGACATCCTTGATCTACTCCCTCCTCCCAAGTTGAAAAAGTTCCTGCCTTCTCAAATTTCTCATAGAACTTTACCTGGACCTTTCCTTTATACTTATCATCTCTTCCCTGTATCGTAGTTATGTGTATACTTGTTCTCCCTTCATTAAAATGTAAACTTTGGGGCAGGAGGGAATCAGCAGGATTTATGTAGTATCTTTCTATCTCAAGAGCTGGAGCTGTGCTTTAGATATCACAGGTGCCATCAGGGAAAATACATACTGCTCTGGATAGAATTCTGAAAAACAAGGCAAGACTGACTCCTGATATGGAATGGAAATGACATTGCGGAAGGCAGAATACATTATCAGATTTCATAACAACTAAGGAAGGGAAATCTGTATTTAGTCAAACATATATTCTAGATGTCAGGAAAGTAGATTTCAGAAAGTTTAGAGAGAAGATAGGCATAATCCCATGGCCAGAAACTCTTAAACAACATGACTCCAGAGAACTGGGAGGATTAACAACAATTAAATAAAATAAATGCTCACTACAATATCCTGAATAAAACCAGTGAGACAGAAGAAAAAAAGAGATATGTGAGGGAAAAAAAATCATTGTGGCTGCGTAGGGTTCTCTCTAATGGGACAGTTACATCTTTGACACAGTGGGAAAAATCAGGGATAATTGACAGTCTTTCCTCAAATTAACTAACTATAGCAAAGGCAGCTATGAAATAAGGCTAAAACAATATATACCATATCTGACTTTGTGTTTGGTTTGTAGGAAGTATGTGAAAATATCCCTAAAATGTTTATAGAGGTTAAAATACCCTAGATTTAGCCAATTGCATGTATTTATTTAATACCTATATCCAAGAAGCTTAAATAGCTTTACAACATGTCAAAATGAAAAATTCAGGCAATAATACAGATATTTTATCTTTGTGATGCCAAACATCTGGATGGTTCTAAAACTTTTCATCTGGTTGTTTGAACATTGTGTGGATGCATCCACTGGCTACCACATTGATGGTTTTAATTAAATAGACTGGTCACATCCATTCAGTTAATTTCATCAAATAACTGCTCTGACTTTTTACTAAATTGGTTTGCTGCAAGTCCATGTCATCTATCTGTTTTTAATTTAATTCTAAAAATTTTCCTGTGACATAGGTAAAGGTAATCATTATTGTCCTCATTGGACTGATTTTGGAAACAGAGAATATCAGAGTTAGATGTAACATTAGATATCATCTTTTCCAACTCCATCATACAGATAAAGAAACAGAGGCCTTAGGAGAAATGACTTGTTCTAGACCACACTGCCAAATAATGGCAGAACTGGGAAATTCAAGTTCAGAGGAATTAAGCTTCTCCAGAGTGACATAGGAAGAGAAAAAAAAATACTTTCACATTTCTTGATATTCAATGTCACCTTATGTCATTCAAACCATAGGGCGCAGGCATAGTTAATGTCCATATAGATCCGGCAAAGTACAGGAGACCCTAGACAACAATGCAATAATGACATTAATTTTGAGGAAAGCCTCGTATTTACCTTAAGGGTTCTGCTGACTCTATTAATCATATTATTAGAAAGTCTCCTACCAACTGTATGGACTTTATAAAATATATTTGCATTTGATCCCTCTTTTATCTAGGTCAACTAAAGTATCCACCTTCTGAAGATCAACTACACAGCTTGTCTCAGGATAAATATTCATATCGACCTGGCCAGAGTGGGGAAAGAAGAAAAGGCAATGGAGAGGAAGCAAATATCAGAACAAGGTAGGAGAGTCTGACCCATGCTTTTTATAGTTCTACAAACAAAAACAAAAACAAAAATTGCACTAGAGAGGGACTGGAGAAACCCTTATTTTGTCAATGACAGAGGTCAAGGTCAACCATTGGGAGAGGGGGGACCAAGATAGGTAAGGGATGAATTTGGTTAATAATAGTTATAATGTAAGGTATAATTTTAAATAGATTAAAATGGTATATTTTATAAACACATTTTTAATTTTAAAAATTCGCTCTTCACAACATATAGGATTTATCTCATATGTTAAGGTGAATGTGTTCAAGTGAAGAATGAAAATGATCAGGGAATAATGAGACAGAAAGGTTATAATTTTTAATCTGTATGGGTCCCATAATATTCAAATCTAGCCTAAAGAATTAAAATGTCCTAACTCAACTCTGGTTCCAGATTTTTAAAAAATTGGAGGGAGAGGGATAAACTGCTATTTTTTCTACTCCTCTATAATTTTTTTAAACACACTTTCCTCCTCCCTCCTTTTTGTTTTTCATGTATTTGCAGTGTTAATCCTTGATAAAGTAAATAATGTTTGTCTTTGACTTCCTCTGAAGAACACCTTCTTTCTCTTTTCAGGTGCTCAGTGTCCTCTTGGTCTTCCACTATCCAAGTCTACTCTTAAGAATCTGAAACTTGTTCACATTCTAACAGCTTTCTTCTAACAAGAGGACCTGCATCTCCATGGAGATAAGAAGAATGAAACACTGCCAATGTAATTCCAGGTCTCTAAAAAGTTCTGAAGAGTTTTAGGAGAAAGAGACAACCCCAAATCACTTTGTTAAGGTGGTTATCTTCTCTTACTACAAGCAACATAGGCTTTCTTCAGTTGTAAAGTACAATAAGAAAAGTAAGAAACTTAGTTCACTCTTTTCAGCTCTTTAGTAATTGATTATATGGATTATATTTTTTTTTTTACTGCCCCTCTGTAGATTAGACCTTGGGTCAGATAATAACTAAAGGTCTCTTCTAACTTTCTGTAGTCTATGATCTCTCTCTCCTCTCTCTCTCTCTCTCTTCTCTCTCTCTCTCTCTCTCTCTCTCTCAATTTTTATTCATTTTAAACTTAAATATAAAATGAGAAAAAAACATTGCCATATGCACAACAGAATATGACAGGATTTGATATAAAACAATAGATATTTTGATTTCAATAAAACCTATTAATAACTACAAATTGGTTTTCAAGCTACCTAGCTTTTCTTTGCTTCCTTGTAGATTTGCTTTTATTCTCTGCTGTGTCCCTTTTACTTTAATTTTTCCCCACCTTCCCCTCCATTTCCTACTCTACCCTAATGAAGGCTACAATTAAACATGGATATATACATATATATCTGTGTTTATAAAAATACACATGTATACTTATCTACACTCATACAAATATATGTAAGACCGTACTAGGCATATTTCCCCTTGTGATCTCTTTCTCTGAAGATGGATATCATACGTCCAAGTCTTTCCACATTTTTTAAAATCAACTAGCTGATCATTTCCTACACCACAGCAATATTCCAATACAATCACATCCTACCAAAGAGATTGTCTATGAAAGATTTTTCCTCCTAATTTTTTGCATTCCTTTTACTTTGGCTACATTGGTTTTATTTAAACAAGAAATTTTTAATTTAAAATCACACAAAGTGTCCCTTTTACATTTTAACAATGCTCTCACCTTATGATACAGTTTGAGATCTGATACTGCTGAATCTCCTTCCCTTACATCTTTTGCCCCTGGTTTCTTTGAAATTCCTGGCCTTTTGTTCCTCAAAATAATCTTTGCTATTATTTTTTCTAATTCAGGAAGATAATTTTTAATAGTTTAATTGGGATGGCATTGAATAAAATAGATTAGTTAGGTAACTTTTTTTATTATATTGGCTTTACCTACCTATTAATAATAAAATACTACTCCAATTATTTATCTGACCTTACTAGTATAAAAATATTTTATATTTTTGTTAAAATAGTTCCTGTGTCTGTTTTGGCAGGTATTCTCTCAGGTATTTTATGCTGTCTAGTTATTTTAAGTGGTCCAAAACAATACTGAATAATTCAGTGACACATAATATAGTTTCCCTATTTTTCTCTTTTGATTATCAGTTTTAGCTTTAACTTTTCTGAGGTCTATGATCTTTTCCAGGGTTAACAATTAGTGTTTAAGATTCCATTCTTCATTTATCATTTTATTGTCAAATCTTTTTTTTTTAAATCTTAGGTCAACTGCACATCTGACATTGTATTATTATGTTTTAAGGTCTCTTTGACCTCTGGCATTCTATGTTCTAGGATCTATCTCAGCTCTGACATATGATGTTCTAAAATTCTTTCCAGATCTGACATTCTTTCTTCTGCAAAATGAGTTGAAGGTGTTAGAGTTTGAAGTCTCCTTCCCAAAGTTGGAACCTAACTGGGAGTGGTGGTACCGCACCTGCTGAGAAGGTAGCAATAGGAAGCCATGAGCTGGATGGATGCTTGACCGATCTTTCCTCAAGCAAATGCAAAAGGACTCCCTAACTAAATAACAGGGCACAGGATCTCTTATGTCCAAGACACTTTTTTTTTTTAAGAAAATAGCCTATTGCTAACCTGGGTGTATAAAAGATCATGTGTCACTGGTCCTTGGAAAAAAAGGATATATCCCACAGACCATATTGCATAGTTACCGACATAAATATTTTCAGCAGAGAACCACCCTGTTCTGGGTCATCATGACTGATGACAGTTCCATATTGGCATGAGAGAAGAATCCTCATTCAAATCTAGGAACTGAAATGGTTTGGATTTTCTAAATTCAACCCATGTCTTAAGTAGTCTATAACTCTTAACCAGGTAATGTCAACATTGGATTCTGAGGATGGGGAAACTTCTTCCTCCTGCCCAGACTTTCTCCAGTATAAGAAGCAAGCAGAGCAAAATCTTCTGTAAACAATGGCTTTCACTGTGTGTCCGATGACTTTGGCAGGACTTGGCTATATTCATTAAATACCAACAACTTTCTTATTTAACTATTTGTTTTCTCTTCATTGGCCCTCTCCCATTCCTCATTATCAGTTAAGATTGATGTTTGCACACAGGTATGATTATGTTACTCTTACCACTCCCGAAAATAAAAAAGTAGAAACTATCTATATGCAGGTATGATTATATTACTCTTACCACTCCTGAAAATAAAAAAAGTAGAAACTATCTATATGCTATCTTGAATTATTCTTTATTCGGTCATAGACTTATCTATTCAATAAAATTTCACAACAGCAGGGACAATGACTTTCACATTTGTATCTACACAGAAAGATGCTAAATATTTATGAAGTACATGTATAATATATAGGTGCATTAGGTATAAGCATTTCATATACATACTTGTACATGCATACAGATGTATGTTCCACATACTTAAATACTCAAATGAATCTGCAATACTATTAATGTCAATTTCTCTTCCCTTCAAAAAGATCACCAATGCCTACCCCCTAGGTCCTCCCATAGGTTATCCACAGGGAATTTTTATAACAAATTTTTTTTTCATCATTTATCCCATCAAATGCAGTACACTTGGAATGCAACATCACAGTCCTGGATGTGCTCATAGAAGACGAAGAAATGGCCTCTACAAAGAAATGCAAAACCTTAATGTTCATTTAAGTACTTCCACAGTTTGAAAAGGTATCATCTAACTTCCCCTTCTCACATTTTTTGTAATACTTAGCTTACAGGTCATTTGCATAAGACTCTCCTCATTGGTGGAGGTTGATTTCGCAGTGTTCTACTCAGATCAGAAGAGGTGGGGTTTGTGAGAGAGAAGAGAGATCCTGAATCCAGAAGACAAGATCTTTCTTCTTTATCAAGTTCCAACTCCACCCTTCTTTTTTTCTTTTAGTTTTTAAATTTATTTTAAACTTAAATACAAAAGAAAGAAACAAAACAAAACAAAAGCAAAAACATTGCCATGTACACAGCAGAACATAGGATAGGATTCAATATAAAGCAATACATTTCCATTTCAAGAAAACCTACTGATAAATACTACCCATTATTTTCAAAGCTGTCCATCTTTTCTTTGCTTTCTTGCATGTTTTCTTTTGTCCTCTGCTGTGCACTTTTTACTTCATTTTCCCCCTTCCTCTCCCCCCTCCAGAAGGCTATAATTAAGTGTCTATATGTGTGTGTGTATGTGTGTGTGTGTGTATATACACACATACACATATATATACATATATATACACACATGCATATATATATACATATGTGCATGTGTGACATATATACATATATATAACACATACACATAACACACTTACATACATACATATACATAAATATCTATAAACTTACACATGTATACCAACTCCTCACCTGCTGCAGAAGCATCAAATAATCAGTCTCCACCAAAGAGGAAAGTTTTATGCAAAAGGATTTTGAGCTGAGGGTTACATCTCTGATATAATCAAATTGTCCACCTGCTTGCTTCTTTCCATATGCAACATTACATTTTGCACGTCTATTTTTATTCATTTTATTCCTAATACTTAGAATGTGCTCTGTTCTCATCTCTGCCTCTTGTAATTTCTAGATTCTTTTGAGACAAAGCTCAAATATGTCACATACATTGGACTTTTCTCAATTCTACCATCCTCCGGTCCTCTCACATACGCACACTATTAATGCTCTCTTCTCTAATAATTCTCTAGTAAAATGCAAGCTTCTTGAGGGTAGGGTCTGGCTCATTTTGCCTCTGTATCCACAGTGCTTATGAAAGAACTTGTTCAATATTTGTTTAATTAAGTTGGACTTATTAGGAGTATTAAATGAATCCAACATTGCTTCTCTAGTGATCTATGTTACAAATAATTATCTTTCCATGTCTGGCCTAGTCAGAATACTCCTCTAATATTGAATGATTTTCAGATTAAAAGACTGTTGGGATTAATGGTTCATTCTCTTTGGAAGTATGATGGGATATATTTTTTCCCATCCCTTTCTAATTTGGTCTGAATCTCAAGATGTTGAAAAGATCAGGAGTGTTCTGGACAGACCACTCTAAAATGGGCTATACACATCATACATTTATTTTAATATTATATTGGTAGGCAAAGAAATTGGAGATCTTCAAAGATTAATAATAGATTCTTATCTATCATGAAGCTGCTAATGTGGGCTTATGTAAAAGAGCATTGTTCAGTGTGGGAGAATACAGTTAAAGATATCCTTGGCTTGACATAATCGCCAAGACTTACTAGTGGACATATTCCACGTGGCTTCCCACTTCACTTATCATCTGCCATGGAACTATACTATTTCCTTTGCACTTTAAAATAAGCCAGGAAGTACTCACTCAAGGAAAAAAAAATATAGGCATCACTGCTCTTGTTTAAATTGAGAGGGAGAGATGGTTTTCCTGTGAAGTAGTGGAAATCTTGACATCATGTTTAAACCTGTCCTAATTGCAGTCAGATTTCTAAAGCTGAGATGTAAAATGTCAAAAAAAAGAAAAGGAAGAGAGAGAGACAGGGAGAGAGGGCAAGGATGAAGAACAGAGATGGTGAATGGAGACAGAGAAAAGCCCCCTATTCCCAGAGCCACTGTTTGTCTGAGTAGAAGATGACTCATGGTACTTTCTCTTAGAGATCGACAAATTACTAGAATTAAGAGCTGGGAACTTACAATGCCATTGAGCAAATGGGAAATATAAATTAATCCAAGACTTACAGGGATTTGGGGAGATTTAAAAACTTCCTTCCTGAGGTATTTTGAGAAGAAAAATGCAGCTGATATTAATAATTCATTAAATTCAGTGGATAATGGGATCTGTTTCTATTAACTCTCGTCAGTCTGGTTTACATCTCAGCAGGCTAAAAGGAGCAGGCAGGGTCTGGATGTAACTTTCTATTTGGAGACACAAGATCAAAAGATCAGATGATCCTAGAGACTGCTGATTGGTCTAGGGGATAGACTTGGCTCCCTGAAGGAGTTAATACAATTTTCAAAAGAGCCTCACTTGCTTATTGGAAAAATGTATCTCAGTTAGCAAGAGAAGTTGCAAGAGTTAGATAACTTTTCAAATTTTGGTTTTGCATTTCATTTGCATTTCTCAAATCCTTTCCATTGTTTTTCCCTAGGACATAGAAATAGTGACTAATACTCTCAAGATTCTATCAGTTTTTTTTTCAGTTCAAGAACTTTTTGGTGAGGATCTAATACATCTTCAGTGCCATGATAGATGATTTTGAGGATACAAGAAATTCTGAGTAGCTGTAGATGGTGCAACGGATAAAGTGCTAAACCCAGGTTCAGGAAGATCTGAGTTCCAATTCAGCCTCAGAAGCTAACAAGCTGGGTAGCTCTGGATATGTCACCTAACCTCTTTTTGCTTCAGTTTGTTTGACTGTAAAATGGAGAGAATAATAGAATAACAGCACCTACCTTCCAGGATTGAAGTGAGGATAAAATGACATAACATTGGTAAAATGCTGTGGAAACTTTAAAGTGATATACAATTGCTAGGTATCATTATTAGGGAGCTGGTAATCATTTGAGGGGAAAGAGTAACTTGGTTCAAATTAAGTAACTCATATCAAATTATAGCACAGAATATATCATAATAACAGGATGGCGTAGGGAAAAGAAAGCTGCAATAGTAGTCAAGGGATTTAAATCTTAGTCCTGGCCCTCTCCTTTGAGTTATCTTTGCTTGTTTGTTCATTTCATAGTCATGGGCAAGGCATCTCAACTCTGTGGGACATTCTTCTCCTTTAAAAATGAGCACGTAATAATACCAGGATCCTCTAAGGCCCCATTCAGTCTAAAAATCTGTCTGGGCTTCTTAACATGGGGCCTTTAATTTTTTTTAATCTTGATAACTATCTCAATATAACTGATTTCCTTTGCAATTCTATAGATTTTATTTTATATATGTGCAAACACTCTTATAAAAAGGAATTTATAAGCTTCACCAAAGGGGTCCATGAAATTTTTTAAAAAGGGGTTTAAAAACCCTCCCTCTGTGTAGCAGCTTGAAAATTCTGCTCTTTCTTTCCAATTCTAACATTACAGTTTTCTTGTCCCTTCTCTCTCCAGTAGTATATACTTCTAAATGTGAAAAGGTGTGGTATAAATACTCACTTTGTTGTTTGTTGTTGTTGTTGCTGTTGTTGCTGCTACAATTGTTTTAGGTGGGAGAGGAGGGAAGTGGTAACTTTGTGGAAAATACAGGCTACATCAGAATCAGGTATTAGATTGTATCCAGCCAGAACCAGAAGCAGACATGCCCAACTACCTGGCTCAGAAAATGGCCCAGAACATGAACCAGTTCCCCTAGCTCTTCCAGTCTTCATTAGTTACAGAAGAATAGAGGGACCAAGTAATTCATCATCTTATTTTTCCCTACTTGTGTGGATGTGATCATAAAGTCAGAAGTCTAGTACTAAGTACTAATCAATGTCTCTTTCCTTGACCATCAACTCCTGTGGATTCACTATTAGCTTCAGGCAGGTCATTCCCAGATTTGTATATCCATTCTTATTGACTCAGCTGATTTCCTGTCCCACATTACATTTCACAATTGGATGTTCCATAGACAACTCAAACAACATATTTAAGATGGAATACATTACATTGTTTCTCTCTCTTTCCCCCAAATGTGTTCCTCTATCTAATTTTCATATTCCTGTTGGAGGCACCACTATCTCTCCATTCCCCTAGACTTTCAATTTAGGAGTAATCCTTCTATCTTACTTTTCATATCCAATCAATTTCCAAATCTTGTCAATTCTACCTCTGTAACATCTCTTTCATTCATCACTTTTTTTCCATTCACCTAGATGGAATCTTAGGTCAGGTTTTCATCACCTAAACCATTGCAATAACCTATTTGCTATTCTTCCTCCATTATCTCCCTGTTCCAATCCATGCTTCACCCTCCTGCTAAAGTGATATTCCTAAGACACAGGACTGTCACTTCCCTCCTCAAAAATCTTCATTGGCTCCCTAGTCACCGCCCCCCAATCAAATACAAACTTATCTATCTTATTTTCTTTTAACTTCC